GGAAAGAAATGGAACAACACATTTCTACAAACCCGTATGTTAAATAAAGCATGATGGAGATGAGTAAATATTTAAATGAATGAAAGGTAAAATATTCTACAGTATATCAAAATTTGTGGTTAACAGCTGAGACCAAGATAAAGGGAAACTTACTGCCTTAAATGTGTTACAAAAGAAGGTAGGTTTAAAATTGATAATCTACACTTAAAGGGAGTAGAAGGAAGAAAATAATAAAGATTAGAGCAGGAAAATAGAGGTAAAATATCAACAAAGAGAAAAATTAAAAACAAAACAAAAGTAAAGTTGGGTGCAATGGTGCATGCCTCTATAACCAGCCCTTGGGAGGCCGAGGAAGCAGGATGTCATGGAGGTCAGCCTGGGCCACATACTGAGTTCAAGGCCAGCCTAAACTGCACAGTGAGACCCTGTATCCAAAAAAAAAAAAAAAAAAAAAAAAAAAAAAAAAAAAAAAAAAAAAAAAAAAAAAAAAAAAAAAAAAAAAGAAAAATCAACAAAGTAAAAAGCTGGTTCTGGAAAAAGATGAATAAATTGTATCTCTCAGCAAACTTGATCAAGGCAAAAAGAGATAAAATACAAATTGAAAGTATCAGGATTGCAACAGGCTTCACTACAGGTCCTACAGACATTAAAAGAATAAACTTTCTGCCAATATATTCAAAAACTTAGATGAAATGAACAGACTCTTTCAAACTACCAGAATGACCTAAAATGAAATAGAAAAAGATGAATAGCCTGGTATCTAATAAATAAACTGTACGAAACAAGTCTTACAAAAAAAACTTCGGGCCAAATAGTTTCAATGACAAATTCACTCAAATAGTTAAGGAAGAAAGTGGCGTGGTGGCACATGCCTGTAATCCCAGCACTCAGGAGGCTGAGGTAGAAGGATCGACACAAGTTCGAGGTCAGCCCAAGCTACATAGTGAGTTCAGGGCCAGTTTGAACTACACAGCAAGACTGTCTCAAAACAACCAAAACAAACAAACAAAAATTAAGGAAATTTCACAAATTTCACTTTACTTTTCAGTATCTAAAGAAATACTTCACAGCTTCCTCAATTATGCTATATACCCGTGACATCAAAATTTGACAAGAAAATGACAGACCAATGTCAGCAGAGACTCAGAAACTCTCAACACTAATAAATTCAGTTGCAGCACTACACAGAAATAATACTTATGACTCTCAGAAACAGAGTCAAATCAACATTCCTCCCCTGAAATCAACACAATTTACCATATCAATGTGGAAAAAAAAGAAAAATGTGATTATGTCCTATAGACACAGAAAAAGCATTTGATAGAATTCAACTTACTGTTACGGATGACTGTCAGCAAAGCAGGACAAGAACTCGCTCAGCCTGACAGAGTCACTATCAAAGTCCTACTACATCAGGTCTCACACCTTGTAGATGAAAGGGTGAATGCTTCCCTCCAAGAGCAGAATGAAATAGGGAGGTCCACTCCATCGCCCATATGCAACATCCTACCCCATATTTGCATTAAGGCAAGTAAAAGAAATAAAATGCATTATAAAACGGAAAGAAAGAAATAAAACCATCTCTTCAAAGCTAATGAAAATTATTTTAGGGCTGAGGATTTAGCTCAGAGGCACTATGCCTGCCTTGCAAGCACAAGGCCCTAAATTCAATCTTTGGTACCAAAAAAAGAAAATTATCTTAACATCTTTATTAAGATATCATTCATATAAGTATAAAATTCACTGACTAAAAGTATATAATTCAGGGCCAGAGATATAGCTCAGTCATGCCGCCGCCTGCCTCACAAGCGCAAGGACCTGAGTTCAATCTCTGGTACTCCCCGCAAAAAGTATATAATTCAATAATTTAGTATAGAGTTTTGCAACCACCACCACAATCTAAGTTAAAAAATTTTTATCAACCAAAATACACTAGTTTCATACTTGTTAGTAGTCACTTCCTCTGCTTCTGACAAATAAAATTGTAATACAGCTTTTGTAAATGTGGAGAAGAAAAAAAATAATTAAGATGTTCTATGTATATGTACACATCTCTCATTGTGAATGTAATCATGTACTGTACACATGTACTAATAGAGAAATAACATATAAAAAATAAAATTTTAAGACACTATTCACAATACCATCAATGAACATAGCATGTGCATATTCAAAGCAATCAGTTAAAAAAATCCCAAGGGGTTTTCTGGTTGAAAGTGGCCAGTTGTTTCTATTTATTATTCTATTTTACATGGAAAAGCAAAGGATCTAGCATAATCAAAACAATTGTGAAAAACAAATTTGAAGAATCTGAAATGAAAATTAAAGTCTACAGCAAGAGCAAAGAGAGAGAGACTTAAACAAAAAGGAGGGTGGTGGCAGTCAGCACTTTCCCGAGCGTAGACTCACGGCATGGGAAGGGAGGGTCAAACCTGAAGAGACAGGGTAAGTACTGATGAACCCAGAGGCCTCAACGGAAAAACACACCAGTGGAATGGCGCACTGGACACAGTGGACTGGCAAGTTATTCTGGTTCAGAGGTCTCCCAGAGGAAGGCCACTCACTGCCCAGTAGACAATTTGGAGAGGGGCCAACTTAGCTTGGAACTCAGAACAGCTAGGAACCAGCTCCATCTAGTGGCTCCCAGTGTTGCAATGAGGAGGCTGAGTTCATATTGGCAGGTGGCACACACACTGTTGCAGGCTCGACAAATCCAGTTCCAGCCTCATAGCTAGAAACCAGAGTGAACTTTAGAGGAACTAAAGATACAGGCTTGCTGGGATTATCCACTACTCCACTGTAAAGCTACAGCTTGCTTGCTGGGACTAATCAACTCAGATCTGGACTGCGTCTGTCCAAGTTGTCTACCAGTAAAAGCAGTGACACACCTTGAGTTGAACTTTTTTTCTTTTTTGGCTTTCTTGTTTTGCTTTTTTCTTGATTGTTTGTTCTTGTTTTCATATGAGTGTTACCACGGTTTTTAGTTTTATTTTTCTGTTCTGGTTTTTATTTCTTCCTTCTCTTTCCCTCCTGCTTTCACCAGTTTCTCAAAGTTTGTATGATCTTCCTATGTCCTCCAGCATTGCATCTAATCTCTTCTTCTGCTTTTATTTCTATATTTTCCCCCTAACCTCTTTTAAATCTTCTCCCCTATGAGTAAAACTGCCATATTGAGGGCTTATTTATTGCATACAATTTTCTGGCTCATTTTAGATTGTTATATAACCACAAATCTAGTTCATATGGTTAAAAGTGGCAAATTAATAGTTACCACAGGTTGTCATTTTCTAGGCTGTGTCTGATGCTGTTGTTATTACTGACTGTTCTGCTTTAGCCAAGGTGACATAATTGTGCTAGTGTGTTGTTTTTCCTGGTATATCAAGACTGAGATTGCCTAAGGTCTTAAAAAATATTACAGACCAGTGCCAAAGAACCTGGGGCTGGGCCAAGTAGGCAGAAACTTCTCATCCCCAATAAATTGAAGAGACAGGATATTGCAATAGATTTAAACCCCAAAAGCCAGCTACACCTGGAAGACACCTCTGAGAAGTAATCATTTCCTAAGGATTCTGAATACTGGCAATAGAGGTAATTGCCATAAGCAATTTACAAGCATCAACCCAGGAATTAAACTTTAAAATAATTGAAAATAGGAGGCAATGAAATGTAACAATCAGAAAGCCACCCTCAAATGTAACAGCAGAAGTAACAAAGCAGATGAATGAGGTTCTAGGAAAAAAAAAATCAGCAGACCTTTCCCTCAACACACAAGTCAATTCAGGATGATTACAGACCTAAACATGTAAGTCAAAATAATTTAAAATACCCAGAAGAACATCTCCGCAATCTCTGTAGGTAAAGATTTCTTAGAGAGGACACACAATCTAACAGCTATTTTCAAAAATATATGAATTGGACTTCAACAAAACTAAAAAGTTCTCCACATAAGAGATACCATTATGAAAAAAACAGCAACCTTCATACTGGAAAAAACTTTTGCCAATGGGGCCTTGCATCTAGAAATCAGTAAAAATTTCTACAAATCAACACAATTAGCAAAATACTTTGATACTTTATCAGAAATAATATAGTATTTAATATTTAAATATAATATGTAAATCTAAGCACATGAAAAGGCATCCTGTTTATCAATTAGGGAAATAAAAATGAAAACACCACAAGAAACAATTATAAACCCACCTAAATAGTCAACATTCAAACAAAAGACCCTATCAAATGCTGGAAGGAATGTGGAGCAAGCAGAACTCTCAGACACTGTTGACAGAAATAAAATGATGCACAAATTTGGAAAATTCCTATGCAGGTTCACAGCCAGCAGGACCTACCTAACCCAGACTCAGCAGTTCTGCTCCCCAGCCATATGTCTAAGAGGAATGAAAGCAAATGTTCAAAACAGACTTGAACAAACAGCTTTGTTCATAATGGACAAGGCTCAGACACATAGGGTCTAAAAGGAAGATGAAAAGGTGAATTATAAAACACAATGAAATATTCCTTTGTAATGAAAATAATAAGCTGTTGCTGAGGCACATTGGCACATGCCTGTAATCCCAGCACTTTTGAAGCTGAGGCAGGAGGATCATAGCAAGTTTGAGGCCAGATTGAACTACATAGCAAGACCCTGTCTCAAAATAAAGTAATAATAACAACAACAACAACAACAACAACAACAAACTTCCATACAGAGAATGATACAAGTAAATCATTTCAATGGGCAGGAAAATAACCTATGGTGACAGAAATCAGGACCCTGCATGACTTTAGGACAAAGAGACTGATGGATAAAGTGATGGGTACACACACCAAAACGCATCAAACTGGACATCTATGATGTGTGTGTTTCACTGTGCTGAAATTGTATCTCAATACAAAAACACTGTTAAAAAATTCAATAGAAAGTTTATGGAAAAAGTCAGAAGGACGTGCTTCTGCAGTCCCTCATATCAACCCATGAGGATCAATATGCAAGAGCAGTTTACCTGTTAACCCTCCTTGGGCACTTCTCAGGCTTGATATCCAATTCATAGTGGTAGATGTCAATTTTGGGGATGTCCATTTCAAAGAAGTTGGCCTGTAGTTTGATTGTTCTTCCGGAGGTCCCAAAGTCCGGCCGCGGCGGAGGCTTGAAGGCATATCCTTGGATAGGGGGTGGTGGTGGTGCAGGAGGTGCAAGCACTGGAAAACATGAGGACAGTGCCTGTTAAGAGACAAAGGAGTGGACCTGTCCCCTACTCCCTGTGGACCAGACCTCCCACAATTTCCATGCTCACCTCCCAGGCTCCCCCTCCCCTCCTGTTCATATAACCCCTCAGAACACCAAATGTCCAGCTTGATATACTGAGGCTGCACCCCACTCCCCTGCAGACTCACCCCACTACAGGGGCCCCAGGCTTAAGGGACCTCTGTACTGCACCCTTGAGTGACTTTGGGAACCTTTATCTGTTTGAATCTCTGTAGGCTCGGTGGTATGTGACACTGTGCCACGGCCTTCTTTTCCAAACTGTTCCCCTCTTGGGTCCTCTCCTTGTTCTGCTCTGTTCTTTGGAATACTGTAAAAGCCAGTCCTCAGCTCAACTCCCTGAATTTTTCTGGAGGCTCATAACCAGTTCCAACTCTGCACCCACAGTTACAGTTGTGTCACAAGCTTCAGCTTCTGTCTGGAGTCCACTTTACACCACCTATGTTTCTCATAACACCGTCCTCTCCTTGACCCTCACCTGGCTAAGCCCAGGGCCCCACTTCTCCTGTTTTGTAGCAGGTTTGGGTGGGAGTCTCAGTTTCCTGGTACCCTTTACCCAGTTTCCAGGCTGCAGGCTGGAGTGTCTGTCACTCCCTGCTCAAACACCTCCCTGGCTCCCCAGCACCCAGCCCACACACTGAGACACTCACCAATCCTCACAATCTGGCTGCCATTCCATGCCCACAAGACTTCCCAACAGGGCTGTCCAGAGGCAGTGTCCCTTTCTAGGCCAGGCCAGGCGTCAGCAGCCAGAGGACTACATTCTCTGTCTCCCACCCAGCTCTGCCTCTCTATCCAGTTGAGTATAAAAGTCTGTTACACTATGCTGTCATTTTGTCTGCTGTGTCTCCCAGGGTCTCAGGGGGCACAGTAAGTGCCCAGGAACATTTGATATCTGAAGATATAAAGGTTCAGGCAAGTGTAGGAAGGTTCCCAAAGTCACCCAGAAAATTTCCCCAATGACAAAATTCATGAGGCAAGATGTGTACAATGTCCCACGTCAACAAAGTCGGAACTCCTGACATTAATGCCAACACAGACCTGGCCACACCTGGCCCCAGAAGCACTCAAACCCCCCCATCCTGGGCTCTGACAGGCACTCAAATACCTAGGCACTCTAGAGTCTTGGAAGGCATAGCTCAACATACCTGCTTCTCTCTGCAATGGACCAAACCTCATTCCCACAGAGGACATTTCTCAGTGCTAACCCATGGGCTAACTTAGAGTGACCCCCCCAAGCTGTCAGGGTCACAGCAAAGGGGACAAGGCTAAGGGGTCTGTGATGAGGGTTCAAAATCCTTATGATGGCATCTTCCTTTCCTGCTACATGAACTGTCCATTCACTTAGGAAATGCTCTGTGCTAAGTAATGGAAAGAAACATCTCTCATGCCAACTCAAATTCACAGGAACTCAACAGGAATAGAATTTAAACTGTGGGGCTAGGGATTTGGCTCAGTGGTTTCACTGCCTGCCTAACAAGTGCAAGGGCCTGAGTTCAACTCCCAGTACAAAAACAAACAAACAAAAAAGCCAAAGCATCTAAACTGTGAACTTAAAACAAACACACACTTGCTCAATAATGGACTACTTGGGAATTTTTAATGAAATGTCTTTATTTTTTTAAAAAAACAATTTTTTTAAAATTACAGCCAGACATGATGATGCAAGCCTATAATCCCAGCATTCTGGAAGGCTAAGGCCCCACCCGGGCAACTTTGACTTAGCAAGACCCTGTCTTAAAATAAAAAAGATATGGGGGTGTTATTCAGTGTGACGCATTGGGGTTCAATCCCTAGTACCATTAAAAAAAATCTTACATACTTCAGTCCCTATTAATATTCACTAGAAACAAGTTTTCTAATAAAAATGAGTGAGCTGTTCTTATTGTACTTCTATCTGAGGGAAAAAAACAGCATTCTCTGACTTTTTCTTTGTTTCAATGGGAAAACTCATGGCTTTGATGGTTACAAACCCCATGGAGCCATGCTGCCTGAGGTCTTCAGGCCTCTCTGCCATGTTGGCAGGAGATATATTTACAGAGTTTTTGTTTGTTTTGGAGGGACAGGGCCTTGCTATGAGATTCAGGCAGGTTTTGAACTTACTATGTAGCCCAGGCTGGCCTAAAACATGATGATCCCATCTCAGTCTCACAAGCTGTGGGATTACAGGTGTGTGCCACCACGCCTGGCCTGTTTACAGATTTTTGAACCTGGTCTCACCAACAGCTCGCCTCATGTGCACCATCCCTGTCCACATGGGGGTTGTGCCAGGGACAAACTGTATGCTCAAGTGTGAGAGAAATTCAAGCATGGCTGAGCCAAGTGCGCTGCACACTCATCTAAGAGATACTCAGGAGTTTGAGCAAGCTCACTCTCGTGCGTTGAGACTGGCTTAGAGCCGGCTGAAGGACGTCCCATTCGTCCTATTCGCTGCCTCCATTGCTCGCCCAAAAGATCACCTTATATAGAAATATGAGAGCATCAACTAATCATATTATGCCCAGCATACAGTGTCCCTCCCCTTGCTCCTTGATTATATAAGCAATTGCTCTGCCTATTAAAACAGATGAAGTGTTCCAGAAACCTCCCCAGAGTCTGCCTGGTGATTCCACACCTCACCCTCCAGATCCGAGCTTCAGAACCAGAGTAAATGTATGACAACAAACAAACAACAACACTCAAGCAGCCTGCATCTCTTCTGTCAGCCACCTACCTGGAAGCCAAGTTTAAACTGTTCACTCAAAAGGCCACACAAGAACCTTTTCACCCAAAGCCTGGCGCTGCAAAGAGGCAGACATCACTGTCCAGACTGACTGGTCAACACATCCCTCCTTGAGGACCAAGGCAGACTAAACAAAGAGCACACCAACAGACATGTATCCTGGCCCTGACAGTCTTCAGCTTTCCCACTCTAGGAAGCCTGAAAAGAATCAATGTTTTGGGCATGGTAGTGCACCCTTGCAATTCCAGTATTTAGAGCTACTGTGAGAGGATCAAAAATTCAAGCCCAACCTGGGCAACTTGGCAAATTCAAGGTCAGCCTAAACCACAAAAGAAGTAGGAAGGAACTTGGGTTATGTCCCAGGAAGCATCTAGGCACAGTCCATTTCAGGAAGGGTGCTCTCCATGAGGAAAAGCACTACCATGTTGGGTTACGCACTTCCAGTTCCAAGACCAACCAAGGTATAGCAATATCCCCACTGAAAGTGAAGGGTCCAAGGCTGCGACAGAAGGAGACCTTGGATGGAACACAGAGCCAAGCAGCCAGCTCTAGCCCAGACTGGTGGCTATCACCACCGCTGAAGTGCTTACATTACTTAAACCTGACTGGAAGCACAGATTTAGCATGAGTTCATTGCTCAGGTTGACCCTGTTTCTCCAGAGAAGCCCTACTTCACCCTAAGCCCTTCTACATTTGCTGTGAGAATCAAGAAACTGTCACTAACTTTGGTTATAACCTGAATTAACAGAAGCAATGGAAAATGTAAGGTAATGGGCCAGGAATTTAGCTTTGCTGTGCCACACCTGCTTAGCAGGCACAAGGTCCCAAATTTTATCTCCAGTACAAAACAAAAACAAACAAACAAAAGTGTAAAGTAATATGTTCATGAAATGTGCAGGTACATAGGGTATTTCTTCCTCGTTTCTGGAAATAATGAAAATGATGACCTTCATAAAAGGACAGGGATTAGAAAATCACACAGCAAAGGCACCAAACTTTTCCAAGCACAAGGAACAGTCCCAGGCTCCCTTCCCATGGGGAAGGGAGTTCCTGCTGAGTGACTGAACCTCTGCCGGCCCTGGGAGAGCTCAGATCTATTTTTATCCTTCACAGGGAGTCCCAAGTGTAAGTTGCCAAAACAAGGGAGAGGATCTAAACCAAACCCTTGGGGGAAGAGAAGGCACTGCAAAAGGACGCAGAGCATAGGAGTCCCCTGTGAGGGGGTGAGGGCTCCAGTGCAGATGAGCCCTTCGGGCAGGTGCGGTGGCTGTGGCAGGTAATTACCATATCAGAAAGGAAACACAATGCTCTGGGAGGCCAGAAGGAGAGATGCACAAGCACACACTCACTTGCTACATTTGATGTGTATGGTTCATATTATTTCAGGTTGAACAAGTGAGAATTCAGGAAATACGCCAAAGAAAGATGACACCGGGGTAGGCTTTGCTAAGGAGACACTGAGGTGCTTGCTGCCAGCTCTACTGGGCTCAGGTTCCCACTCTGCAACTAAGACTCCACCTAGATTCCTAGCTATGGCCAGGCTGTGGGGATTGGGAGATTACCCCACCTTCTCTAGCCTTTAAAATACCCAGACACCTCAGTGGAACTTCCTCCCCAACCACACCCAGTACACAGACATGCCTCTCAGCTGGCAACCAGTAACCTAGCTGGTGGTTTTTGTTTCTGTTTTTCAGTACTGGAGATAAAACCCAGGGGCATTCTACCACTCCTACATCCCCAGCCCCTTTTTACATCTTTTTAAATTTTTGAGACAAGGTCTTGCCAAGTTATATGGCTTAACCCAAACTTGTAATGCTCTGGCCTCAGCCTCCCAAACAGTGTGCACCACCGTGTTCCACCTAGACTTGTTTTAAGTGATGTCTGGCTGTTTCTGGAACTGCTTGGGAACAGGAAAGCAAATCCTTTTTCATCCAAGATTCCCTGGATCCTAAACTGTAACAAACCTCAGGGGCTGCAAGGAGGGGCCTTGTCACTTCTTGGACCTTTGACAATAGATCCCTTAGTTAAGGACTCCTCACTAGTGAGCCCCCAAGCAAGGGGAATCTGAAGGCCACCACCCACCCAGCACAATGTCAGGTCACTATTTGCTTACTTGCTGACACACAGCACATGTGTTGTAAGATTCCACTTTTACAGTCACATTCAACCAGTGAAAGCGAAATGCAGAAAATGAGTAACTGACTTCCTGTATGAGTAAAAGGGTTGAGGCAACTGAAAGTTTCAGTGTTTGTATCAGATGCCAAGAGGTGCCCTGTGAGTGAGTCACCCAAGACATGAAATCCCAGAGGGACCTGGGCCGTCACCAGCTTCACAGAGCAGGGTGTGACATCTGTAGCCAAGGGCCAACACCCTGGCTATGAGAGTCTCTCATCCCCATCCCTCCCTCCCAGGTATGGGGCAAGGGCAGAGAAAGCTGCTGGGTTCTCAGGTAGCCAGCAGATCAGGAAAGAATGGGAGCGACAGTCCTGCCAACAGTGACTCTCCACCCTGTGGAGAATGCTGCCTAGGAGTGGGCACTGATACCAGCTCTAGTTTAGGATGACCTAGGACAAAGACACGAATGCTGCTGTCAGGGCATCCACCAGGACCCATGCAGCTGCAAGGTTTCCAGGATGGTTGGGCCACCTTTGGACTCCCCAGGTCCCCCACAAGCCTGGTCACCACGGCCAGCCACTGGCACTACAAGGGCCACAGCCTCCCATCTGACAGCTGACCAGTACCAGGGGAGTGGCCAGGCTGGCATGTGTCCCCGCGTCCCTTGGGGTGCACAGGCGGGTTGCAGCAAGGCCACAGCTAGGCTTGCCATAGAGATCTTTCTAGTTTAAGCACAACTGGGTATTCAGGCCCCTCTTTGGAAAAGACACCCTGATACTAATGTAATGCATGGTTAGGCACATGCAGGCACAAGTTAAACTCACACCACCCTACTGCCTAAAGCCCAGACTAGACATCTGAGACTGCTTGCTGCGCGGACCAGCACAGAAATGAGTGCAGAGCAACTGTTTCCTGTGGCAACTCAATCCCCCTGGAGCAGGAA